TATATAACTCATGAACTCAATCGGTTTGAACCACGCTGACAATTTTTTCACTATATGAACTCACTGAACCTGCCAGTTATTGCGGTTATTGAACTGACATCTGACTCACTTCCTGACCTCCAAATTTCAACTACTGATATTTCAAACTGAACAGACAGACTGACTGATAGTCACAGACAGACAGACAGACACACTGACAGATAGCCTGACATTACTGATGTATGTTACAAAATGAATAGATAGGCAGACAGACACACTAACAGACAGATAGATCTATTCTAAACTTCATATTTTAATTCTAATTCTAAATTCTAAACTTAATATTTGAATATTTAAATATTTTACAACAGCAACTAACTATGTCTGTCCTCTGGCTGTGTTTGATTGAATGAAAGTGATTTAATTTTCTAATGGTGTCAGCTGCATCACCATTTCAATGATTGAACATTTGTGGCTAAAACACCACTTTGAGAGCTCTCATATACATCTAATAGAAAAAGCCTTGCGTTCAGATGGGACAAAAATATATTAATTGAAAGTCCATTAAACAAACTGTTTTTTTTTCTCATGCTAAAGGCACCCATGATAGTCTAATAGACTTTCAGTGAAATACAAGAAGAGGAATGATGAACGCTAAATATAGGGTTAATTCATGATGACTGTGCCATTTTCCCCCAGTCATTTTAATAGCAAAAATTCTCCCAATTTATCCAAATTCACCCTATATCAATAGCAATTTCTACTGATACCTACCACCCTGACTTATAATGCACACTTACACATACATACCGAGTACAGTAACTGTGGCTCGTGCAGTCCGTACAGGCATGGTGAAAATTGAACAGGTGTACTCTCCATCATCTGACAGCTGAACGTCCGAGATGGTGATTATCAGCTCTGTGCCCGTGGACTTTACCAACTGGATACGGTTATCTCTCAGTGCTGAAAAAGACAAGAGTAGATAAGAGGAACACGTACACCACATAGATGTTATATACAACCATTTTTAGCATTTTATTTTCCCCCCTGAAGTTCACTGATAACGTTAGTCAAGGTGTCTGGCACCAAAACCATTGTGATTTAGATTTATGTGATTACTTTCCACCATCTCTCTAACTCTTCCATTTTCTTGCTGTAACAGGCTTGTTTTTTTATCTTTTATTTTTGCAGTTTGAAAAAAAAAAAAAAAGAAATCCACATGCAATCTTATGTGTACAAACCTGATCCACACTAAGTTCATATGAGTTAGTAGTCTAAAAGGTCAGATCAGATTTCAAAGGAGTTTTTTGTTCATTATTTGGAAAGTAAAGTGTATGTAACATCGTACAGTGTGCAATATCGTCTAGTCTGAACACATTCATTTTCGCTTACTCTTTCCTCATCTAGCAAACCATGTGATGTTCACTATGTCATGAATAGTGAACGAGTCAGCAGTTTTGGACCCAGTATACTGTATGCATGAATGCATAAACTGCCTCTGTTCTCTTACAGATCTTGTGAGTTCAGCACCACAGTGAGATGACAGACATGAGTAAAGGCAAAGTTTTCAGTTTTCTGTGCTCTCTTTCCATTGACAGCTACTCTCTGTTGTTGTATGAGAAAGTCTCTTGGCAGTGTGCTGATTCTGACATTATTACTATAGCAACCCATGTAGATACACTCGATACTGACTACACAGATTTCACCAGACAAAATGACAGTGCCGAGTAGACAGTCAGTCCTCGGATTATATTTGTGTGCAACCAAGCCTTGGAAATTAACAAGCTGCACATTAAGGAATTCTATATGTAAAAGACCTCTGTTCTGATTGGCTAGAACTGTTGTTGATCAGAGCAAGCCAAGTGAGTGAATACTGAATAGACATTGATATGTAAATGTCTGTGGCCTTATGATAATGTGCTCACAGTTGTGAAGTCATAATCATGATGGTTTTTGAATGACGTCTTTAGTCTTTTTGGACTAGATGTATTTAAAAAGTTAAAGCATCTCTCTATAGTATGTAAAACTACTTTATCTAAAAATACTAATTTCCATTAAAGAATAAGCTAAAATATAAAAAATAAAGCATGTCTATAAGCTTTAAGGTCATCTATATGCTAATATACTCCTAAATGCCACTTTTAACAGATTCACAAATTTAAATACATCCTTTCTCTTGTTCCTTTATATGTTATAATAGTATTTAATAATATTTTGATTTAGCTTTAATTTTCATATATTTTCAGTTTTCATTTTAATTTTAGGTTAAGTTATATTAATTTTAAGTTTCGTAGATATAAAAACATTTCTATTCAGCTTTACTTTTATATATACTTTTTTAAGTTTAAGGTTTTCATCTAACATTTATATTTTACTTTGTTTCAGCCTTATTTCAAATAATTAATGGCTTTAGTTTAGTTAACAATAACAACACTGTTCTCTTTTGGCAAAATGGAGCAAAAATATAGATGACTCATCCTGCTCTACACAGATTTTTGTCCAATCACATGCTCTGTAGAATGAGCCACTCCCCCTACCACTGGCTTGTCTGACCAAACAGACTGGCAGTGATCAGGAAAACCTGTTTGGAAAGTTATTATTTTTGCTAATGGTGCAGAAATTACACACTTCACCTTTGAACAAAAAGATAACACAGATTTACAGTAAATGTGTGTATGTGTGTGCACTTCATGCTTTATCAGTAGGAGAAGGGCACTTAATTTGTCTTCATCAGCTGCTGTTCCTCTGTCCTCCATCCTGCTCTTTCATGCACACACTCCTCCTTCGTCATTCCTCCCTTTATCTCTCTTTGCTCATCCACCCATCCATCGTTCCTCCACACTAATCTGTTCATCTCTTCTCACTAGTGCGTGTGTGCGTCTGCTGTTCTCCTTTTACTGTGCTCTCTCTTTTCTACACTGCAAAAAATCATTTTCTTAAACAGTATTTTTGATATGCTTCCAAATATCTAAACATCCTTCAAACAAGATACATTTACGTAGGAAGCAAAATTGTGTAAGATAATGAGATTTGTGAGTTTATATCTTACCCTAAATTGTTTTAGCGCGCTTTATACTTAAAGCAATAGAGTAAGAAAAACACTTCATTGGAAACTCTTATCTTGCACAGTTGTATTCATCCAAATAAAAAAGTAATTTCAAAAAGTAAATTTATATATGGGTGTTTATATGTGAGACTGTATTTCTCTCCTCTTTCTTTTAACACTCCCTCCTTCCTTCTTGTTCAATAGACTGCTTTTATTTCTGCTTTTTCATGGTGCTCTCTTGTCGCTTTCTTTTGTTTTCCATTTTAATCAGGTCGCCCCTCTATTCTCTCTCTAGTCTTTCTCTCTCCATCACCTCGCTTTTTGTTATCACAGAGCCACCTGTTTGTTTTTAGGGCGATATTAATGTTTTAGGAAGGTGTCTCACGCGTTGTTTTTGTGTGTGGTACTGAGGGACTGAAAGCTCTGAAGAACTCTCTAAGGAAGGGTCCAACAAAAATCAATTTACTGTTCAGACCAAAATGGCAAGTAATTGCAATCATGGACCACAGTCTTAAAAGCGATTGAGTAAAAGAGAAGTCATGAAATGTCCGTTTGTTAAAATCAATGTGAATTGCCATTTACAACCAGTTTTATCTGTAATTTGACACTTTTTGTTGGAAAAAGATATTCTACTAAATAAATAAATCAATACATGTAAAAATACTCAAATTATTAAATATGTAGGCTTTGTTTAATCCATCGGGTATTGACTGGACTGTGAAAGGTTAGTTACTAAACATCATGTAGCCAGACAGAATGAGTGTTTGTTAAAACAATGACTAAATAAAGTAATGTGAATGAGATCTGAAACTTATGGCAGATGGTAAGATATTCCACAAATAAGTACTTTTTGGTGCTTTTTTCATTTTTGTAGCTAGTCCATCTTCAGTTCCAATTAACGTTTATTATATGGAAAAGAACAGCCAGGACATTGCGCGAAACATCTGTTTTTGATGTCAATAGAAGAAAGAAAGTCATACAGGTTTGGAAAAACACGAGGATGAGTAAATGATGAGGGAATAATCCTTTGCCTTTTAAAATAGGTGAAACTCACCTCTCTTTTCTCCAAAGTACAGGGTCTGCTGAGCCGTGTTGGACCACTGGAGAGAGGAGTTATCATTTTCCTTCACATTGCAGGTGAGGGTCACCACCCCACCCACAGCCACCGTCTCATCTTGGGTCACTGGCTGGAAGGGGTCATCATCTAGGCAACAGGACAGAGATAAATGAGAAGATATTAGAGTTGAAAAGACAAAAAAAAAACAAGACGACATCATGAAATGAGTTATAGTTAGAGACAGATAGAGGAGGAGACGGAGAAAATGAGAGCGAGACTTAGGTGAAAATTAGATGCTTCATCCCCATCATCATGATCTTTGAGTGCAGTGCTGTGTATTTCTTGCAGAAAAAAATGAAAATGGCATCGTTAACATTGTCTGCACCTCATGCTGCGAGAGTCGCCAGAGAAGGAAACTGAAGACCAGTAAGTGCAAAAAAAGAGAGAGGAAAGAAACTGAACAGGAATGATAATTAAAACGTTGACTGATGTCTCCAAGATTCTAAAGAAATATAACAAATCATAATAGAAAATATGTAAATAGTGGTGCTTGCTAAAGCTCATATCTCACATGTGCGTATATATGAATATATATGGATTTAAAAAAAAGCCCTAAGTATTGAATTTCAACATGAAACCTATCCTGCACCATTTTGATACATACATGAATAATACATCAAATTATGCGGCCTGTTCTTACTTTCTTTTTTTGCTATCACACAATTCAGTGATCTGAAATGTGGATCTCACCTGGTGAGAAAGACGTACACTTAAGGAACGACCAATCCTGGTCAAATCATAGGATCAGAATACCATAGAGACTTGGGTGTGGGTCCTCTCAAAGGACGTACCCTAGTAGCTGAATAGCAACACCCTGGCAACCACCAGAATGACTGAGTAAAAGAGAGGTCATGAAATGTCAGTTTGTTAAAGTTAATGTAAATTGCCATTTACAACTAGTTTTTATCTGTGACAATTTTCATGGGAAAAAAGATATTCTACTAAATAAATAAATGTAAAAATGTATAATGAGGGATAAAAGATATTCTACTAAATAAATAAATGTAAAAATGTATAATGAGACTTTGTTGTATCTATCAAGTATTGTTTTGATTGTCTTTTTTGATGCATAGCAACACACTGGCAACCACCAAGAACACACTAGCACCTACATAACAACACCCTGACAACCACCAGAACACCACAAAAACTGGACAGCAACACCCTGGCAACCACCAAGAACACCCCAGCAACTACATTGCATCACACTGGAAGCACCCAGAAAACCCTAGCAACATCATAGCAACACCACTCTAACAACTGCATAGCAACACCCTGGCAATTACCCAAAACACTGTAGCAACTCCATAGCAACACCCTTGCAACCACCTAGAACATCCTAGCAACTGCATAGCAACAGCCTAACAACTTCATAGGGACAGTCTAGCAAACAGACAAAACACTCTATCATCTGCATATAGCAACACCCTGGGAAAATCACTCAGATAACTCTTGCAACTGTATAGCAACACCTTAGCAACCACCCAGAACACCATAGCAACTGCACTGAAACACCCAGACAACCATCCAGAACACCCTAGAAACCACAGAGAATATTCTAGCATCATAATGAGTTTTGCACAGGTAAGTACCACTTACATTTCCTGAAAAAATGCTTAGTTTTTTTTTAATTATTATTGGTTGCTTAGTGTTTATGGGATTGGGGTTTGATCAAACACATGTAAAGCCCTTCAGGCATTTAAAAGATGACAACTTAACTCATTATATTGGAAATGTGTCTGTGTGAGTGTGTGTATAAAAGCCAGATGTAATGCCAATGTGAGTCTAGCTGTATGATAATTCCACCCTGGGCGGCCCATGCTCCACTTTACCCAATAAATACCACTTAGGTTATAATCGATGACCTTTTTAATGCTGACCGGTGCTGGATGAACTCTGGGCGAAGCGCTGTCTGAATGTTAGGCTAATGGCAGCTTGAATGGAGCGCTAATGTTTAGTGAATGCTAGGCAAATGCTGTCTTGGCAGCGGCCAAGCTCTGGACTCAAAGAGATTAAACACGGGGCAAAACTTGGCTGAATGTTGGGCGTATGCTGCCTGATTGACGGGGCAAATATTGCTAATTGCAAGGCTAACATTGGCTGAATGCTGAGTTAAACTTGGCCGGACGTTGATATTGTACTAGCCTAATGATACTCGTTTTTGTAGATCTCAATCTTGGATTGATTCAGGCTAAATGCTGGCTTAATTTTAGCCTGATGTTTTGCTAGCACTGGGGATTAACCTACTCAATCGCAGGCCAAATGCCGGCTTTCCACTGGCAAATATGTGGGGCAAATGCAGGTGCGCCGGGTGAGCATGAAGCTGGGTCGAACTCAGCCTGATTAGCTTAAAAGGCTTTAACGAGACGCTGCTTTTAAAAATAGAGCTTGAGCAGAAGGGATGAGAAAAGACTAAGTCTCAGCATCTACATCACAGAACATCTGGCTATGTGTATGTGCGCGAATGTCCAAACCGACAGAGTGGTAGAATTAGAGTTAGCTTTCTAAACCCAATGAACCTATGCCAACAGATAATAGGCTAAAATTAGCCTTTAGCTTTAGCACACACAGCTACTTATCGGCAACCAATTAGAGCGGTGTTAGCAGTTAATAAGCGATTAGTGGGTCACATACACGCTCTCTGTGCAGTGGACAACTGCTGCAGGGGACACTTACTGAGACTCTCAAAATGGCATCTGATCCATTTAACCGGTTATGTCAGGACACTGACTCAACTCTAATCACTGAGTGAAGTGGAGATGGAGAGAAAGAGAGAATATGGGTGAATTCAATTTCAAAGTGAACACCACTATGTCTAACTCACTCCAAAGGGCAGAGCACGTAAGTGAGTAGTCTGAATCCATAGGAAAAATGTATTGCGCAGTGGTTGCTTTTCCTAAGCTCAGGAGACTTAGATGAGATTCTCATATATCTCTCATTTTAGTATCAACAGCATTACAGATGTTTCTCCTAAAATTCCTTAGGAGAAATGGAAGTAGACACAAATGAGACATGAGAAATATTTGAGAAAAAAAAGAGTCAAACATAGAATATATCTTTATTGTCTTGCTGCAGTCTCTATCAAGACTCCATTATAGGAATATTTTATTTCTCAGTGGTTGCTCTTTCTAACCTCAGGAGACTTAGTTGACTTAGTTGACATGTATTTCTCATTTTAGTCTCAACAGTGTCTCAGATGTTTCTCCTAAGAATCCTTAAAAGTAGACACAACTGAGACATGAGAAAGTTCTGAAAGGAATCCAAAATGACAATGGGAGAGAAACGTGTGAGAAACATGGGAGATCTCTTTACTGTCTTGCTGTAATCTCTTGCAAGACTCCATTATAAAAATGTTTTACTGCTCAGAGGTTGCAGTTGCTTTTTTTTACTGCAATGGGGTTTTTCACATTTAATGGTCAGGACAGTAGGAGTAGAGACAGGAAACAATTGGAGACTTGAACAGGAGCAGGAAAGTACCTTTAGCTGGGATTTGAACCCATGTTGTCTGAGGTGCAGTTGTGCGTTCACGCTGATGTGCTGCCCACAAAGCTATGGCTCTGACAGAGCTTAATCTATGCTCAGGATACTAAGGGGTGTTAATTTAAATAGCATTAAACATTTCAGAATATCAAGGTTTACTTGTTTAAATTTATCTTCAATGTCCAGCATTGTATACACCACATTTTCCAAACACACTAGAAAGGACTGACAAGTGCAAGATGTTTAGTATAAGAGCAATACCTTTTTTTAACAAATGTAACACTAGTGGTTGTTGAGATCTCTTCTAAAGCTTTAAAGGAGAAAAATATGAGACCACCAGAGTCTTTAGACCAGGAGAAATATCTGAGCACCGTGTGTGATGTTGTTGAGATCTCTTTTAAAGCTTTAAAGGAGACCATTGTGAGATTGTTAGAGTTTTTGTCTCAGGAGACAAGTTTGAGAAGCAGGAGACTCAAGCAAAAATCTCCATTCGATCTTAAAGTAACCTAATTTCTGTCTAGGAGAAATATTTGAGATATTAAAGAGATCTCACTTTTGATTTTTCTTTCCTATGGCAAGGGTGCAGGGTGTTACCGTCTCATTTGTGCATGATTGGAACACAGTACACAAATTTACGTCACTGCCACATTATTTTGAATTACAATGGTACCTTGATAACATACACAGCTAAATTAATGGGATAGTTCAACTAAAAAGGTGATACTTCACCTTTTTGGGTGAAGTATCTGTTTTAAGCAAGACTTTTCAGACCAGATTTTGTAGACCAAACTCTACTATACTTTTTGCATTAGGACCCACATTTTACATTGACCCAATAAGCGCTACAAAAGTTAAGAAAAATATCCTTAAAATGACAATTATTTTTTTATGGAATATTGCAGTGTTTATCATAAATTATTTATCTGTGTGCATCATTTTTTTTTAATTAATGTGTCCTCTTAATCTTTAATCAAAAACATTACTGTCCCCTCTCCCTCGCAACAGCACCTCTTCTCTGATGACTTGCACCGGCACGAGGGCGGGACAACAATCCAGCAACCTGTCACTCAAATGAGATCGCAGCAATTAGTACACGACTATAATCCAATCAATCCCTGAAGGACAAAAACTTTTTCCTCTTTTCTGTTTCATGGCGACATTATTATCATTCAGTGCACAAACCTAGCAGTGTGAATAGTTTGGGTTGATTAGATTCATGATTCACAGGTTTTCAATTCAATTCAAAAACCATTTTGAATTTAACTCATCTGAAAATTCAAAATGATTAATTTTGAATTAAATTTGATTAGATTTAATCATTCATTTCTCTTTTTTAAAATACATTTATGCATTTGAGCTCAAACCATGTTTATCCTAAATGCAAGTGAACCCTGTATTTAATGCAGCCTGGGTTTTATATTTATCTTGTTTTATCCAATTCAGCGACAGTATAGTACAAGGGTGGCGAACTCCGGTCCTGGAAAGCCGCAGTCCTGCAGAGTTCAGCTCCAACCCTAATTAAAACTCACCTGCCTGTAGCTTCCTAATAACCGTTCAGACCTTGATTAGCTTGTTCAGGTGTGTTTGATTAGGGTTGAAGCAAAACT